TGTCATTTGTTTTAAAAGAAAAGAAATGTGAAAAAAAATTGTTCTGATTAGTTATACATGCAACAGCTTTTTTAAATTTAATTTTTAGTTTTAGGTAGACATAGTATCTTTATTTTACATTTATGTGGTGCTGAGGATCGAACCCAGAGCCTCATGCATATAAGGCAAGCGCTCTACTACTGACTCTACCACTAAGGCACAACCCTAGCCCGGTGCATCAGATTTTTATTGACTACTTCTCAACCAGCTGTTGAGAAGTACTTCAGTCTAAAATATTTTCTGTTGTTTTTTTAAGATTCTGTTCTCCTAACTCTTCCAATGGTTATATAAAAAATCTCAATCCTTATATTGATGTCTTTCTAATCTTTTTTTAAGATCTTTTTTTTAAGATCATCTTGAAAGTATGCTTATGATTTACTTAATGTGAACCAGATAGAAATGTTATATATTTTGATTGGAATCCACTTGCATATTCTCAAATTTATACTTGAGGTTGTTTAAGCTCATGTCCAGGTCTGGTAACACGAATTTAAATGCATACTGTATATATGCAATCACTGAGTCAAGTGGAGTCCATAACATTCATGGCATTGGGTATAGATGATTCTTTTTTTCTATTTTGCAATTTTAAATTCATTTTCCATTCCAGTTCAGGAAGAGAAAAAGGAATTATTTGCAACTAATGTGATGAGAATCATGGACTTCAGTTAATCTGGTGACTGAGGTGTGTGTGTGTGTGTGTGTGTGTGTGTGTGTGTGTGTGTGTATGTATACATTCAATAGAGAAATGATTCCCACGCTGAGATTGGTGAAGTATATCCTCAAGCTATTTTAACGAGTTTTGAAGCTTAAATAAGTGTGTGCCTTTGTTCCTTAATTAAGCTGCACAGGCTAATAAAATTTAACTCTTTGTATTTACCTAGAATTAAATCAGTTCAGTGAGATATTAATAATTATCTGAGGTTGTTCAGATATACAAATTGGAAGTAATATGTGATAAGTAAGTAAAGCAAAACAAATAACCTTAATAAGTTCAGTTTTCTGTTTTGTTTTGGTTTGGTTTTGATACCAGGAATCGAACTCTGATGCGCTTAACCACTGAACTACATCCCCAGCCCATTTTTTATTTTTGTATTTTGAGACAGGGCCTCACTAAATTGCTGAGGCTGTCTTTGAACTTTCCTCCTGCATTAACCTCCCAAGCTGCTGGGAATACAGGTGTGTGCCACAGCGCCCAGCTCAAGTTCAGTTGCCTTGACAGAGATTGCATTAAAGGAAAAGAACACAAACAGGGTATTAAATGAAGAAAAGTTTAACAACCATCATCACTCCTAAAGAAAAAATATGGGTTGTATTTTAAAGTCTATTGATGAGTTTCCAGGTTGGAAAGGTGGGACCTGAAGAATCTAGGGCTGAAGACACCAGGATTGGAGAAACTGACAAGTTGGTAGAACTGGATTTAAAATGACTGGCCAATAGTCCAATGCCAGCGTCAGAAGGGTACAGCCATCTTTGGCCTGGCTCTGGCAAACATTGATACCGAAAGAGTTCACAGCATACAGCACCAAGCAGCAGCATTGGCATGTGCAATAATGGCAATCAGGATGAGTGACAGCATGTCAAATGCTCAGTCTTCTGGGGAGAAAGACCCAAGACTAGGCAAATGACCTAGTGTTCAGGGCTAGCCTTAGCTCCCAGTGGGAACTGGAGCAAAACCCACAGCTGAACCCCAGATAAGTGGAACAAAGCAGCACCATGTCACAAGAGGTAAAATGGGTCCCTGTGTGTCCAGCATGACGCTTATGTTACCACCCAGTCAATGTCACATGCAGTCAGAACCTAGCATCTGCCCACTGCTGAGAGTATGTGGGGAAAAATGGGAAATTATCCAAATCTCAGATTTATCTATTCCTGACTTACAGAGCAAAATCTTTAGTCCTTAATTTAAATTATGCTAAAATAATATGAACTTCACAAATAAAATGTTATGATTGTTTTTCAGCAAAATAAAGAAGAGAAAAAGCACAAAATCCCTCAAGTGATGTTTAACAAATAATATTTTTTCATTTGTGCAACAAATATTAAATATTATTTTCACCAAGATATTTTCAGCTCCAAATATATTTAGAAAGTATAAACTTAATTCATCATTATTTTAATTACTTTAGTTCATTTATATACTTATATAAATGTGTGTATGTGTATGTATATATATATATACACACATACATTGATCCCAGAATAAAACAATGTAGAATATAAGATTTACCTTTCAGTTGAATCTTAAATGAGCAATAGGATATTGCTCAGGTTTTCAATTTTGGCCTCTGAGATCAGACTCTAAAGATGAATTCACTTTAAATGTGGCAAATGAAAATTTTGATTTTAAAATAAAACAAGTAATTGTGGTGTGTTATTTCAGTTATCTCCACATTTTCAAGTTATTTATGCTAATGAAACAAAAATCCAGTATGATAAGTGAAATTTTTGTGTCAACACAGTCCACCAAAATACAGAAGGCACCTTTGACAACCTCTGAGGACCACGCATGCGTGCAGATCATTCTCTCTCTCTCTGTATTACTCAGTTGCTCAAAGTTGCCAGATCAAGAATGAGCAAAGGGCTGCCTTTCTCACATTGCTCTGAAAAACCATTAACAGCTTGATTTATCAGGCCAGGCCAAAAGAATGAAATAATCAAACAATGAACAGTTTCTATTATTTTCTTTTCTGTTACAGTTCATTTTAAATTTCATGTGCAATTTAACCAAACAAAAGTGTGGCATGGAGAGGAATTGTAAATTTCAGAAGGCAATAGTTTTCCTTTACCTGCCTAGTCTACAATAATAATTCTATCTCCTATAATTAATAATTTTCTAAAAAATTACTAGCTTGAAGGCTGACCATGGTCAGAATCACAAAATGATGGCAAAAAATATTTTACTGAACATTTCTTGAATGTTAAAAACAATATTCTAGAGCTTTTATTCAAGTCTTTTGTCTGGACAAATTGCTTTATTGCGAGAACTCTAAGAATGGGAACACAATTGACTTTGTCCCTTGTCCCATTTCCCACACAGAAGGGCCCTGATGCTTTCTGCAGATCTAAGCACACACCATATGTTCCATCCATATAGACCAGGTTAACTCATGGAAGCTCAGAAGTCTTCCAGGGAAGCATTTACTGGGTGCAACCTTAATTAACTAATTACTTAGGGTAGGGTTAGGAGGGGGAGGAAAACCTGGGAATCAAATTTAACCTTGATACGTGAAACCTCAGTATTTGAAACGTTTTACAGATATCAAAAAATAAACGTTACCCAAGGGCACTGTACAAACACAAATTTTATGTTGTGAAATCTTGCATACATAGAAATCAGACGGCAATGTTCATATCATGTTTTTCAGACTGGCTAAACACTCAGTTTATCACTGAGTGCTCCGCTGTGTGCACCATGTGCCCTGTTCCCACCAAATGACACAGATTTCAAAAAATAAGTATGATTAATGAGATAAGTTAAATGACTGATGTAAAAAGTTCCTGCAGCAAGCTCTCCATTTGGTCATTTACACATAGTAAATATTGTAAAACCCTTTAAAGATAATTTTTAAGAGGCCCAGCTACCTCTACAGAATTAGAAGCAGAAAAATTGTAACTGGAGTATGTATGTATAGTGTTAATATACACTGAAGAATTAGCCACATGTATAGGAGAGCTTATAAGAACAGAAATAGTATCAATATTATTGTTAACAATAATAATGTATAATGTATGCAGATTATATAATGATAGGATTAATAGTAGTGAAGACCTAGAAAAATATATTTCACTTTACATCGAGTCAATTAATATAAAGATGAAAATAACAGCTTAGGCCACCTTCCCCTCCCCCAGTCCAATTTTTACTTATTGTTACACATTAACTTCAGAGTCTCTCCAGCAGACAAAATGTCCTGTTAAGCTCTGGAAAAATCCAGATAACAATCATTACAGTCAGAAGAAAAGAGTGTGGCACTAGAGAAAAGCCTATCGAAATGACACCTCCTCAGACAGAGATCCTAAGTCATCTTTGTCTTTTCTTTTTTGGTGCATTTTTAGTGGGGGGAACACAGCAGGTATCTCCACTCCTCATGCCTCTGACTTCAGATGCTCAGGATCTATCTGTAAATTGAGGACACTGGAGCTTCTGAGCTGGAATTCTAGGGCTCCTGTTGTGGAGACTTGGGCGCCTTCTGCTATGGCTGCCCCCTGCTGCTGGGATTTTGAGATGGGAGGCTCAGCTGCTTTGCCCCAATTGCTGGCCCCACTGTGTAGTCCTTCCAGGCCCTTCTAGAGCCTCCGACCACAGACCCCTGCCACATAACCGATTTCATGGCCACCAACTTAGCCTTCTGAGATGATGTGCTGCCTAGCCACAGGCTCAACAAGTCCAAAGCTTGAGACTGGAGCCCCTTGAAACCGGCTAAGTCCTGGACACATCCCGACAAAAAAATTTCTTAAATAACTAAGTGCTTAAGTTGTTTTTCAGAAGAACCTCCAGAATTTACTCAAGGACATTTGAAGCTGGCTTTTCGAGAATGGACATGCGCAGGCAGAGCCAGCTCATCTGGTCCCAACGAACTTTTCACCACACAAGCTCAAAATCCCTGCTGCAGAACACAACTCCCCAATGGAAAAAGAAACGAGCAACCTGTCAAGAGAGATGATGACCCTTTGCTCCTATGCAAAAAAGCTTAAAACTTCCCCTTCTCTCCACCCAATCAACAAGCAGCTTTTTCTCCCTCACTTCCTAGGAACACTGACATCCTCTTGGGAAAGACTAAAAAGGGCATGCTGGGTAACAGCCAGATCTAGGTGAGATTCAGGTGTGTTGAGATGGTCATCCTGGTTGATGCTGGGCTCTGGGATGTGAGGCAGTAGTTGTATTAGAGCTCACAGGACAGGTGCACACCTAGATGTCATGAAAGGTGGTTGAGAGGGGCAATGTAAGCAGTTCTTACCTCTTGAGGAGGCTCTTCCTTTGTAGTTTTCTTTGAAAGCTTCACTTTTTTAGTCCTAACAGGTGATGTACTACGAGCGGCAGCAGAGCGTGGCCTCAAAGGTGTCGTACTCCTGGATAAAGTCCCAGAATGGGAGGGCCATGGGGACAAAGAGCCTTCTCTTCCCCAGCCTGTTTTCAGGTTCTGACACACAAAAAGAACCAACTTAGTCATTCTCATGTCATTCCTCAGATCTATGCTCTCTTCTCTCCCCTGAGTGGGGAACTCTGAGTTGAAGTTTTTAGTCCCAAAGGGCCTGACTCTGTTCTTCCTCCCAAGGTCTGCCCTGGCCTGGCTCAATTTGCAGGCTGGGTGCAAGTCTCTACCCCCCACCCCGCAACCATGAATCCTAACATTCCCAGACACACATGCCAACAGACTGATGTGCTTTGGAAGCACCTGGGAAGGCAGGGTCCCTGTGGAGTGGGATGAGGTGATAGCTTGAGATTGTATCAGGGTGGGCTGGAGTAAGGGGAATAGGAGGAAGGAAGGAAGGGCAGGGTGTGGAGCCAGAGGAGCAGCCTACAGACAACACCTTGACCTGGCTGGTTTGCTCCTCGGCTCACTTTCTCTCTCCTCCACCTGTGCTCAGCAGTCAGTTCCTTGTTACCTATTCATACCTCTTGCTCTACTTTCAAGCATTTTTCTGTTTTAAACCCCAACATCAAACAGTGGAAAGCCTCATTACAGTATGTATAGATTCTCTAACCCAGATGCCAAGAGAAGGGAGGCACAGAACAGATGGAGAGAGAGATTGGTTGATTAAATAAAACCCTGACACTTACACTATCGTACTTTTTTCTAAGCTCCATGTCTTCTTTCTGTTTATTAATCTGTGAAATGAAAGACCATATTATTTTTTATCATTTGTGAAAATTACAAAGGAGAATTTTTTAAAATCTTAAGCAATAAAAGAGTAGCACTTAAAAGTATTTCACTGTAGAAACTATTATAGAAATATGAGCTATATTTTTTTTTAAAGAGAGAGTGAGAGAGGAGAGAGAGAGAGAATTTTTTTAATATTTATTTTTTTAGTTCTCGGCGGACACAACATCTTTGTTGGTATGTGGTGCTGAGGATCGAACCCGGGCCACACGCATGCCAGGTGAGCGCGCTACCGCTTGAGCCACATCCCCAGCCCCAATATGAGCTATATTATTGAATGTGAATTAGAAGAAAAACAAATTTGCATCTGGAATAAAAAGCACCTAAAAATAAGTGAATTATATATATTTAAAGTTGTTAGCATTTATTTATTGCTTTAAGAATAACAGATTATAGGGACACATATTAATTATTTATGAGGTGATAATTTGATACATTATCATAATAGCTATAAATCCAAGGCCTTATTTTAATATTTTGAAAAATTAAGAATTTAATAGTGAATCTTCATAAAATAATAAAATTTTACTTTAAAATTAATTAATGTTAATTTCCAGGCACAAAAGCATTGTATCAGAAAAGTACTACCAATCAATGCTTCAATAATTTTAAGATTTTTTTCATAGCATGGATTTATGAATAATTATTTGAATTATGACTAACCTTATTTGAAATTAAATGATAGAACTAAAAGATGAGAAATACATTTAATGATTAATTTCATTGGTATCTGATTAACAATTATAATGGATATCCAAAAATCTTTCTCATCTTGAACATTGAGCAGAACACAACGAAAAGATATAACAACTTTCAGTCTGGGAGGTTAGTTACTAATGCCTATGAAGAACTGTATTATATGGTCTCAGTGGGTTTGAACTCAAGCCTAATACAGTTAAATTCCATTATGATGGTTTAAAAATAACTTTCTCCAAAATCTTCAAAAAACTATTTGCAAATTGAATCTAGCACTATATAAAAAGTATAAGAGATCATAACAAAGCAGAATTTTGCTTAAGAATACAAAAATGATTTAACATATAAAAACCACAGTATTTTTTCATATTATGGAATAAAAGGAAAAAAAGCAATCATTTCCATAACTTAAGAAACAATCACTTATGATAAAAACTCAAAAAATTAGGGGACTCATAAAACTTGGCAAATGCTTTCCATGAAAAATTTATAGCTAAATCATACTTGATGATGAACTGATAAATTATACTCCCCTAAGATTGAGAACAAGACAAAACACTCGTTTTCACCATTGCTATTCAACATTATATTGGAAGTCGTAGTTATTGTAACAAGACACTAAAAAGAAATAAAACATAAAGATCAGAATGAATAAGTAAAATTGTCACTGTTTACAAAAGATCTGATTACTTATATAGAAACTCACAAAGAACCTATGAAATTATTATAACTAATAAATTAATCCAGTAAGCCTGTAGGATACAAAGTTAACATAAAAACAATTGTATTTTTGTATATCTAAGAACCAAACAATTAGAAATAAATTATAAAAACAATTTCAATTACAACAGCATCAAAAATATAAAACACTTAGGAATTTAACAAAAGATATGCAAGCCCTCTACCCTGAAAATGACAGTCCATGACTAACAAAAATTAAAAGAGAACTAAATAAATATAAAAAATTAAAAGAGAACTAAATGAATATATATATATAATTTATATATTTATATATAATATATAATTTTATATTTATATATATCATGCTTATGGATTGAATGACTCAGTCTATAATATATATGTCAATCCCTTCAAATTGAACTATAGATCTATGTATTTATTTTAAAATTATTTTTAGTTATAAGTGAACACAATATCTTTATTTTATTTTTTTATGGTGCTGAGGACTGAATCCAGTGCCTCACACTTGCAAGGTAAGTGGTCTACCACTGAACCACAATGGCAGCCAGAACTATAGATTTATTATAATCATAATCGTGCCAATTCTTTTTTGGTAAAAATAGACAAGCTATTTCTAAAATCTACATAAGAATACAGAGGATCTAGAATTTTTAAGATGATTTTGAAAAAGAACAAAGTTGGAGGAGCTACTGCTCCTGACTTCAATACTCATTATAAAACTCTGTGGTACTAGCATACAGATTGAAAATCATTAGAATTGAATAGAGAACTTAAAAATACACTGTTTAATTTTTAACAAAGATGCCAAAGCCATCAATACAATGGAAGAAAAAGCTTTTCAACAAATAATGTTGGAACAAATGGATAACTTTTCTTGGGGAAAAAATAGAAATTTGACCCTCATATCATACACAAAAATTAATATGAACCATATTGTTAAACAAAAGACTAAAATCATAATAGCTTAAAAATCATAAAGGAATGTCCTCTTGACCTTAGGTTAGACAAAGTTTCTAAATATTTATAAAGGAATATTCATCAAAGAGAATAACAGGTAAATTAGACTTTAAAACAAAAACATTTTGTCATCAAAACCATTGTTAAGAAAATTATCAGAAAAAGCACAGCTGGGAAGAAAATATCTACAAAGCATGTATCTGAGAACAGACTGGATCCAAGAAACAACTTCTGGATTGTATTGTAGTCCCATGCTTAGTTTTTAATAATTGCCAAATGTTTCCCTAGTTATCTACTTTCTCTGTATCCTTGCCAACATTATTACCACTATTTTTTTCTCTTTCAACTCAACAATTTCATAGGTGTGTAGTAATATCTTATTGGTTTGCATTTCCCTCATTGTTAATATGGTTGAACATCTTTCATATGTCTCTCCATTAAAACATCTGTTTGTGTCTTTGCCAAGTTTTTAATTGGAATGGTTTGTTTTGATTTTATTTTTCCCTGTTGAGTTTTTGGAGGTTTTTCATAATGTGATATTAGCCCTTTGTTAGAATATGTCTACAAAAATTTTCTCTTCCAAGTCTGCAGCTTATCTTTTCATCTGTTTCACATGTGTTTTTTTTTGTTTTTTCCTTTTGTGGGGATTGAACCTATGGGCACTTCACTAGTAAGCCACAGTCCTTTTTTTTTTTTTTAAATTTTTAGACAGGGTCTCTTTAAGTGGATGCAGCTGGCCAGGAACTTGTGCTCCTCCTGCCTGAGCCTCTGAGTGGCTGAGATTACAAATGTGTGCCACTGAACCTGGTTCACATATGCTTTTATGTTGCAAAAGTTTGTAATTTTGATGACGTCTGTTTGGGTCACTTCAAAATTTGTATGTTGATTTAATACCAATACCAATGCAATGATTAGGAAAAGAAGTTTTAGAACTAAAATGGTCTAGATAGGTCATGAAGGTAGGAGCCTCATCATGGGATTAGTGCCTGTTTAAGAGGAGGACAGGTGTCTCTGTCTCTTTCTTCCTTCATAAGCATGCTCCAGAAAAAGGTTAGGTAAGCATGCAGACAGGAAGAGTGGCCTCTAACTTATGAAACAGGCCTTCACCAGATACCAATGATGGCACTTTGGTCTGAAACTTCTGAGCCTCAGCACTGTGAGAAATAAATGTTTGTTGTTGAAGATACTTACTCTGCCTAGTATTTTGTTACAGTAGCTTAAGTAGGCTAAGACAAGGTCCAATTTATCAATCTTTCCTTTTATGGATTGTGCTTTTGGTATTAGGCCTAAGAACTCTTGGCTCAGAGCTCTACATTCCAAAGATTTTCTTCTCTATTTTTCTAAATCTTTGTAATTTTGTATTTTACACATTGTTATAGTTTTGACATGAGGTGTTTCCCTAAAGCTCATGTGTCAGACAATGCAAGAATGTTCACAGGTGAAGTTATTAGATTATGAGATGTGTAACTTAACCAGTAGATTAATATGGATTAACTGGGTGGTAACTGTAGGCAGGTAGGGTGTGGCTGGAGAAAGCAGGTCACTGGGGACATAGGTTGCAGTTTATATTTTGTCTCTGGTGAGCAGAGGTCTCTCTGCTTCCTGGTTGTCATGTCTGGAGCTATTTTCCTGCACCATACCCTTCTGCCATGATGTTCTGCCTCATCTTGGGCCTAGAGCTAGGACTAGTCAGCCAAGGATGGACTGAATCTCTCCCCTACAACTTTTACTCTATTGGCCTCCCTTCTTTTATTGAGACACCTTGTTTATATTTGCTCTCTAGCTTCCATATAAGATAAAAAAACATCCAGCCCTTGACTTTCTGAGTCTGGCTTATCTGGCATGATGCTCTCCAGTTCCATCCATTTACCAGCAAATGACAATTTCTTCCTTCTTTTAAAAATATGAAACACCGTATTTACTACTATTATATTCTAGAGATTTGTTATATTTATCTTTATATAATATTTTACTTTGTGATTATTTTATATAATTATTATCATTTTTACAATTTTAAATGTAATATATCTTTCATCCCTTTTTTTAGTCTACTTGTGACCATAGATCTAAAGAGAATCTTCCATTTTTTTAGATCTGACATAGTTAACCTATTATTATGTTTAATCTTCTTGGTCATGTTTGTGTTCTGATTAGTGGACATTTTTTCCAACAATTTTTTTTTCTGCACAGATTGACAGGATCATACAATTCTCCTTCTTTAACACTTTGATGTGATGAATTTTATTGATGAATCACAATGTGTGATTCTTTTCATATGGTAGCAGGTTTGATTTACTAATATTTGCTACTATCTTTGGTTTTGATATCATGGTAATACTGGCTTCACAAGATGTATTGGAAAGAAATCTCTCCTTCTTTATTTTCTGAATATAGTGTATAAAATTGATGCTAGCTTTTTAAATGTTTGGTAGAAATTTCTAGTGAATTCGTCCAGACCTAAGTTTCCTTTCAAAAGCTTCTAAATTATGAATTCAATTTCTTTATGGTTGTAGGACAATTCAGACTATTTAATCTTGACCAAATTTTGATAGTTAGTGGCTTTTAAGGAATTGCTCCATTTTTTCTAAGTTAT